CCAAAGTTACTGAGTTCTAGTCTCAGCTCAGTGATAAATAACAGTGAGCACACGTGTGTGTGCATGGATGTCCTCATCATTGAGCACTTAAGTTTCCCCAGAGACCTGTGTGTGACTCAGGCAGGAGGCAAGTGGAACTTTTTCCCAGTGTTCCTAATTCAGGGTCCCTGGTGACCTCTCAGGGGACAGGAGACTGTCAGAGTCTTTTCTGGCTGTGTTTTTCCATGGCAGTAGCTGAGGCTTCCTCACCAAGTTATGGAGTGGCACAACACGAGGACAGATGCACCCTCAGTGAGTTCTGCTGTAGCATTTCCTTTGGCAGTTACTCTGAAGGATGGGGCACTGCAGGCCATGTTCTTACATCGTGTACATCAGTGGATCTGCCAGAGATGGGGTGTGTCTAACTCCATGCAAAATTAATTTCATTCCATTAATCCATTTTATTTATAGAGTCAGGGGGTTTGTTACTTAGCTAAGAGAGTGGGATTTTATGACCTCTCTTTATGACTAAAGCTTCTCTCATGTTGCTTTAGTGAAGTTAAAAACAGTTTGTTCTCCTTCTGCATCTATATCAGCATCTAAATCTCAGTAAAATATCTTGCTCTTCAAAAGAGCTGTTTATTGAATATGGTTTTGGGGCTCTTGACAAAGGAGTCATTTGCATCATGCATAAAAACATATTTTCAACATATTTATCTGGAAACCTCATTGATTTGGATGAGTTTGGACTTTTTACGTGTATCTAAGAAATCAAAAGAAAGCAAAATATTAAAATTTGTGATCTTGAAGCATGTTGGTCATTTGTAAATCTCACCCAATGATTTGTTGCTTCTGCAGAATTTTTTTTCCTATTTTAACAAAATACTTTGTATTCTATCGAGTTTTAATAAATGAGGCAAAAATAGCTGGTGGTTTATCTGCTAGGCAATACTTTGTGTAGATTGTTTTTCCAAGCACACTTTTATATTTTGTCATAGTATAAAATAACTCATATAAAGAATTGCACTGCAATTTTTCTCCTCTTCTGTATTGTCACTAATATTCCACAATAGTTAAAATAGAAAAAGGCCTTTTCATTGCAGGGACCCTGAATTGGCAGCTGCTTTGCATGCCGAACGTCCCAGCTTCAATGGGAGCATTGCTCATGGAATGATTGCAGAACCAGGCCCTGAAATTACCTTGCCAGCTAATGATAAAATCGCATGCAGGCCACAGGGGTTTTTGTGGAATAAATATAAGAGTGGAACAATATCCAGTACACATTATACCAGTAATTTAAAGCATATTCAGGACAAAGAGAGAGTTCCCAGTGCAGGCAGCATCATAGAGATTTGCTGTATCTGATAAAGATTAGGTTTCTCAGCTCATAATACTATACTATTACTTTCCTTTTGTTAGTCTTTCAACACCTACACTCCTGCATTGACACAATATCAAGTAGGAAGAGGAAGAATAGCCTTGTATTTAAGGGACTGAGCAGGGATTAAAGAAATTTCGGTTCTTTTCCCTGGCTCTGCCAGAGACTTTTGTGACCGTGTACAAGTTACTTATTATTTTCATGCCTCTATTCTTGATCTGTGAAATGGTGATTTTTTTTTTCCCCTTTCTTTTTCCTCCTAGCCCTAAATGCTTTCTTGCTGGCTTCTTTGCACTTCATGTGCCAGGCTTGTTGCTTGAGTTCCAGCTAGGAAGCTGTAGCAGTTGCTTAGGGATAGGAAGTGTCTGGCTGCTGTAGGTGATGAAATGAGGGCAGGCAGTGGCTGGAATTAGCCAAATAAACACTTGGAAAGCTGGCTGGCTCCATTACAGTGAAGTACTTTCATTAGTTGTGAGTATGAGTGTGTGTTGTTTTACTTGGTCTAACATGAAAATGTCAAGTATCCTGATGAACTAAGCATTGCTCTGTCATGGAAGTTTTCTCTGCTTACACATTTTTTGACAGTTACATCTTTTATTTGAGGTCGGTTTTGTGCCCTCTTGCTGTGTCTTTACCAGAGGCTGTATCCTATAGTGAGGAACCGGAAAAAATGTGTGAAATGGGGCAGGTGATGGAGCTGAGCTCTTGTGTGAGGCTCTGTGTGTTTGGGCAGTGCAGTCTGCACTCCTAATACATGGCTTTAAAATGCTTCTCAGGATTGCACTTGGCAATAATCATTTATCAGAACTGGTAGTCTGTTTTTGAGCAGAGTCTGAATGTCGTTTTCTGTAGAAGGCATGTGGTCAAATCTTTGAACATGTGATTTCTTTGTTCCTGAGCTGCATCTTGAGATGCTAATAAAGCTCTGGTATCGTTTGCTTAATGTCGAGAGTTTGATCTCTGCTTTCTGGATCCCATTATGACCGAGGGGGATGCAAAGAGCTCTCTTGTGCTGAACGTATGGACTGGTTATGGGAGGTTATTTGTCAGTGCAATTGCAAGCTGAATCAGCCAATGTCCTATCAGGTGTCTGTCACCAATTTCAGGTTTTCTTTATGGAATCCTGCTGGCTCGCTGATGATCCTTCTTCAGCTGTGATGAGCTAATCTTTCCCTGCCACTGCAATCACAGTTCTGGAAAGGTCTGCAGAGCAGTGCCTTGCCTTTGGTAGCTGCTGTACCTGACATAGACACATTAATGTCCAGACCATTCTCCTGTCTCACTTCATCATTCTGGATGGAATTAAGGCTGATGAGTCCTACAATATCCCTGCTGGCTTTACTTTGCCATTTGCAGCATTACCATTGTCAGTAGAGGATGTGGTCGTTTGCAACATCAGGTGATAATGAACGGGTGACCCATGACTGGTTGCATGCCCTTGGTTTGCTGTGTACTGGGGTGCTGCAGTGGCACTGGACTTGCAGCTTGTCTGCTGCCTTCAATGCACTGTTACCCAGGAGCACACTCCTGCAGGAGTGGGGGTTGTTGGATTTCCGTGGCTTCTCTGAGCTCCTGTGTCTTTCCAGAAGCATCCTTTGTGTTTGCCTCTGTCCCTTCCTCCATGTCCTTCTCTCAACTGAGCTGTCTTCTGTCCCACATATTTTAGTCCTTTATACTCACTCTGAAAGTTCCTGCCATAACCAGGGAGCTGAGGAAAAATGATTTCCTTAAAATATGAGGGATCATGGTGAAATCTTTTGCAGTGTAACTAAACAAAATTGGGCTTTATCTTTTAATTTGTATTATGGCTTCTTAAAATAAAACAGCTGGTTTCCTGAAACTCTAGAACAGTCTGAAATAAGCCCTAGAGTCCTTTTGCTTTCCAGTTGCTGCCTTTAGTAGTTTTAAGCATTATTTTAGAATGTAACAGAATTCCAATTTAAAAATAGGTCTGTCAGCAGATCAGATATGGACTGAAACTTTTCAGCTTTTTCAGGGGTCATGAGATGCAGCACTGCCCTGATGAACTTCATTATGCCAGATGAATATAAAATAGTCATATAAAAGGAGGTTTGCAAAGACATAAAGAAAAGGCACCTATTTTTTCAGTGCATCTGGGAATCATCAATCTTAATCTTATATTTTAAAGTTTCTTCTTTTGTGTCAAGATTGCAGATTAAATGTGTACATTTTTGTAATAAAAATAATTCTGCAATCCAATCTTGAAATAGATGTGAACTGTCTGTAACATTACAGATCGAGTCCTATTGTGCACACGCTTAGAGCCTTTGCAGTGCAGTGTTTTAGCCTCTGTTAGGCATTGACAGCTGGAAAGGGGATTAATGGATATTTAAGGTGTTGATGAATCAAGGCCCAAATTTTAATTGTTGGAACCAGCAAGTTTAGGAGTTGATGAGTTTTTCAGGACAAGTTATTTTAATTGTTTCACATGCAAACGAGACCATTCATTTCACACGTATCTGTAGTTCTGTGGGTGTCCCCTCGTGTATAATGCCATTTGTCAGTAAAAGCAGAGCTGATTAGCTTTATAATTTACAGTTAACCAGACCTGTCAGGAAAATGGTCTTATTGTCCAGCTTGTCTTTTTGTCCTGAAACTGTGGCAGGGGGTGGAACAGTGTGTGCAGCTCGGGGAGGTCAGCGAGGGTGGAAGGCACTAATGCATTCTGAGCTGCAAAGCTCACGCTTGACCTCGGTGATTAAAGTTTTTTCTGTCATCCAGCAGCCGTTGAGCCTGAATTGTCTCTTAAGAAGTCAAAAGGTCTAATCAAGCTAATGAACAAACTCAATCATTAGTACTTTGGGAAGGAAGTGTGCTGCCACTGCTGGTGCCCCAGCTGCAGGGTGTGGGCTGCTGGAGGTGCAGCAGGGCACAGCCGCCTCCCCTGGGCAGGCTGAGCTCATCCCACGGTGTCCACGCTCTGCTCTGGCCAGGGGGAAATTTCACATTCCTGTAGGTGATAGGAAGGGCTGCTTGTTTCCTTTGAAGGGTTTTTAAAGTGAGGATTAAACAAAAGCTAAACCTTCCCTGGGTGAATGTCCCAGCTAGTGAACTCATCTGCATTTCTCTTTACCCATTCCTCCCAGCTCTCTTCACTCAGATTTCTCTGACATGGATAAAATAATTTTCAGGGATCCTTTGTTATATTCCAGTGTCTGAAGTTAATGGGAAAGCCTTTTTCATACTGGTCAAGTAGATGACAGCTGTTAATCATTTAAATGCAGTAAAACCTTTCAGACAGTGCACACTTTGGCTCTGGAGCCAGAACCTTTGTCATGTGTGTCCTGGAGACTGGCATGAGTGTCTTACATACACACACATACCAGCCAGACCTGTTTCTCCAAACATTTTCTCTTGATTTTGTAATAAGTGTCTTATAATTCTTTATTCTGAGGAGAGCAAAGCCACAGAGAAGAAAAAAGTGTTTATTTCACGCTCATTTTCCAGCCTGTTTTTCCATCCTGTGGCTGGGACTTGCAAATAAAGTCCAGTTTACTCAGTGCTAGGTAAGGCCTGTGTTCCTTACCTGTTTGCTTTGGAAGGGAAGGAGGTCAGGTGCAGGCAGTGGATTCAGAGGGGCTCAGTCAAGGCTGTTTGAGTGTTTAATGCTCTCATTCTCCAGGGTGAGCCCATCACTTTCTGTGAGGAAGCGTTCGTGTCGCACCGCTCGTCCGTGATGAGGCAGTTCCTGCAGAATGCCATCCAGCTCCAGCTCTTCAAGCAGGTACTGCCTCCATGGTCCATGGGGAAGCAGATTCTGGAACAGTTCAGTGGGCTCTGGGGGGCTGTTTCTTTATCCCTTGATCCTGTAGTGCAGCACCTCAGTTCCTGCTCGCTGACTTCTCTCACACTCAGGTGCTGAGGCTTTCTGTGTATTGAGAGGTGGATGGGTTTTCCCACTAATGGTCTCTGAGCTTAAGGGATTTTCTTATTTGAGCACATCAAGACCCGAGATATGTCCTGTAAACTTTGTCCAGGAAGCATATTACTGTTGAATATAGAACCACTGCTTTAGGGCAGCTGAAAACATGGATGTGTAGCCAAACCAGGCATGCTGGTTTTTAGCAGAGCCACACACCTTTGGGCTGTGGTCAACATTGTGCCAGTTTGGGTGGTATTTTCATTCTGAGTCCCTACCCAATGCAAACATAGAGGTTATTCCAGCTAATGAAGAATAAAGTCTTTCTGAAAAGCTGAAGAATGGGATGGTTAATGTGTTTCTGTCTTTTAATGCTGATGCAGTTCATTGATGGACGTCTGGATCTGCTGAACTCTGGGGAGGGCTTCAGTGACGTGTTTGAAGAGGAAATAAATATGGGAGAATATGCGGGTAAGAAATGTTTTAAGGGAATTTCAGACGCTTTTGATGGCTTACCATTTGTGGGTTATCATGATGTAAACTGCTAGGTAAATAACTGAGGCTTAGTGATCCTGGCAGCCTGAAATGTCTTAAATTTTTGTTCTTTCCTCTGTCAGGAGCTTTGAGTAATGTATTGTAATCTGAGTAAGGCCTGTTCAGTATTAAAAAACCTCAGTGCTACCACTTTAATAAAGTACAACTAAAAGAGTTCTTGCAAGGAAAAATCTTGGCTTTACTCAGAACCACCTCAGATTTCTTTTAGTGAACTTAAAAACATCTGTGTTCTCACATGTCTGAGACAACACAGAGAAAACAGGAAAATGTAAATCTCTCATCAATGTTATGTTTTCTCCTGAAAGAAAAGGCTGATTGTCCTGTTCTGTCCATGCTCCAGAACCACTAAGTGCCAACACTTCACATTTTGAGCTTGTTTTCTATTCAGCAGAGGGTTACAATTTGTTTATTTGTGTGTTTGGTTCTCTGTAGGTAGCGACAAACTGTACCACCAGTGGCTGTCCACAGTGAGGGTAAGCAATGAGATCCTGCCAGACACCCTGAACTGGGGTTGGAGATTTTCATGTAGTGACAGAGACAATAAATCTTAAAGCTGTTTACATCTGATGGCATATAATCAAATTTGATCTCTGGAAATGTAATTTTGCACTGAAACTAGGAAATACAACATTAGCCGGGGTTTAATTCCTTGGATTTTGCCCTTCTCCTGTGTTTCTCTGTAAGGTGCTGTACAGCAAAGTCTGTGGGGTGTGGCAGGGGTGTAAAACACCAACCAGATGAACAGATCATTGCAGTGGGTGTAACACTGGCTCATCACTTTGATTATATTCATCACATGAAATTCAGCTGTTCTAGAATTAATGTTTGTGACTGCAGCTAGATTTCATTTTCCCTCAGTTTATCCCTGTATCAACTATTTGTATCTTAAAGAGGCACCATGTGTGTGATAAACAGGACTGTGGGATGAGGGAAAGGAAAAGAGCCAAATAAAAACAGACCTCCCCTGTTCAGATTGAACATACAGGCTGTCCTGAGGTGGAGTCTCTGGCTCAGACACTGAGTGTTGCTCAGGGTACTTGTCTTAAACTTGGTCAGGATTTCAGTGGAAGGTACAGGACACCCCTGAGGTGAGTGGAAGCACAGGACACAGTTTGTGAGATCTGTAAGACAAGGGCTCTTGGGAGGCACCTGTATTGTCCCTTGGGCAAGTGCTGTGTTAAACAGGACAAAACCAGAGCCACATTCAGCGTGGTTTTCTGTGCCTCTTTTTCTTTAAATGTGACCTTTTCATACTCAGCTCTGCTAATAAGGATAGTTAATGCTCTGTTATTTTAAGTTAAGAATGGTGGATTTTAGATTGCTGTTTGCTTTAAAGAGCTTTGATAACATTTCTTCCCTCGTTACTGTAATTACAGAAAGGAAGTGGAGCCATTTTAAACACAGTAAAGACGAAAGCTAACCCTGCCATGAAGACTGTCTATAAGTTTGTAAGTATGGAGTACTGGCTTACTACTGAGATAAGAGTCTAATTACAAGTCTGTTCTAACCTTTCAAATGAGACCGAAGACTTACATCCATTTTTATTGGACTCATAAAATTGCTCAAAATATACATTCATTCAAATTTCAAATTTAAATGAAAAAGTCATTTTGAAATTTAAACTCAATTGAAATGCAAAGGACAATGGGAACTTGTGATTTCTTTTGAAAGTACAGATGATAAATTCCATTTATTACACAGAACTCTTTCTGGGAAATAGTGCCTGTGTGCTCTGCTAGGCAGCTCTACCATCTCATCATTGCTCTGTTGGAAATCATTGTTACCTCAGCCTTCCCTGCTTGCAGCTTCATCGAAAGAAGGGAATCCTCTCATTTTCCAAATTGTTTCCATCTTTTCTAAATGTCAATTAATTTTCCCTAGAGATTTCTTATACCTGCTTATTTAGAGCCCAACTTACTGAGTTATTCTTTAGATGGAAGTGTTTTCAGTGCTGTTAACAAACAGCTGGTGTGTTGCTGTGCTATCGTGTGTGGCTGCCAGCTCCACTCTGCCAGATCAAACAGCACAGAAACAAGTGAGGATTTCTTATATGCTCAGTTCTGGGAAATAATGCTACAAAAAGCATGGAGGTAACCATTCAAACTTTGGGTTTTTCCTGCCTTCCTCCAGCCTGAGAGAGAGGAATAGGATGAGATTGGCTCTACTAAATGGAACTGGCGTTCAGAGCACTGTGAGGAGAGTTTGCAGGCTCATTGCCAGTGTGGAAGAATAGAAGTTTATAGCAAAGATAAATACTTACTGGGGAACACTGAGGCTGTGGAATGTAAAAAGATGAAAAATGTCTGGGGCTTCAAAACAGGGAAAACAACATTTTAGCAACAAAGGCGAGGTGGTGCTTTTTGTTTATTTGGGGTCTTTTTAGCTTTCTGTTTGTTTTAATGTGTTTTCAGTATCCTGTTACATTTTTTTATTGCCATTTTTATTAACCAAAAACAAACTTAGTCACTGCTGGAAATAGAAGGGAATTTTAACTTAAATTAATTTTTCATGCAGGCAAAAGATCATGCAAAAATGGGAATAAAAGAAGTGAAAAACCGCTTGAAGCAAAAGGTACTTGAAGTTCTTATTCAAAATGTATAAGCATCACGTCTGAAATCCTTAGCCACTGAAAGCATGATGTGATCAATAGGAAGCTGTTTGATACAGTGTTGTTAGCACACTTCAAAATGCATTACCAGCTGTCCTGGATTTTTCACACTTATAAATATTCACAGACAAAAAAAAATTGTCTTCAAATACATGAAAGCTCTGACTTAAACCCACAAAAGCCAGAAAATTGAGTCTTCTGCTTGGAGTGGTCCTGCTCCTGTCCTTTGTGCTGGGGCACTGTGTGAGGGGACTGCATGTGGACTGGGAGCACTTCCCTACAGTTCTGGCTGTGAACTTCATGCAAATGGCAAATTGTTGTTATTTTTGCAGTAATCAGTCAGGAAATATAGCATTGTCTGCCATTGGGAAGGAGATTTCTGCATTTCTTGAATGTCTGCTGCAAAGTTCAGACAGGAAGGAAAATTGGTGTTGGTGTCCACTGCCAATTGGAATTATTGCAGGAAAAAATACTCAAACTGTTTGTTGTTTCCCAGATCTGTGTGTGTTTGTAAACAGCACAATTCCCAGCTGCTCCTCTGTGTTTGAGGGATGTGTTGTCCAATCCCAACTGCTCCTTTTAAAGCACAGGTACAGTCACACTGGCACACACCTCATGAGCAGGGGGTACCTGCCCTGGGTTATTGCAGACACTCCCTTTATTCTGTGCATCACAGCTCTCAGAGCCATGGGGGAAGCCAGGCAGCTGACCTGCTGAGAGAGATGAAGTTCTTATTCAGAAATTGGTATTCCATTTGCTGCATTGGAGTTTGGGTGTTTTTTTTTTTTAATCTGTGCTCTCTCTGTAAATTTCTTCTCTAAATTTCTAGACCATGCTCTAAAGTTAGGGCTACAAATGTTGGTGGGCAGACAGAAATGCAGCTGAGCCTGTGGCCAGCCTGCTCCCCCAAAGGGGTTTCTGTGCAGCCGGGCTGCCAGGCAGGAATTGCCTGTGTGCATTGCACCTGCTGCTCCCTCCCTGAGCACTGCAGACTCTGCTGCACGATCTTGGGGAGCAGAAAGTTGCTTCACATCCTTTTATCTTATTTTATTTTATTTTATTACTCTACATTATATGTGACTACTGTAGGTATAATTTGAAAACAATAGAAACATGAAGCTGTTTTCTTGTACACGGATTTCTTAATGTCATTCCACGTGTTTCACTTCTGGACATAACCTCCCTAAATAATAAAATCTTTGGCCTTCTCGTGTGTATTTCTAAAGCAGTTGGAGCTGTGTAACATGACCAGATTTTTTCCTGCATTTTAAATGCTGATAGAATTGTTTGCTGTGTGTGACATTTGTATAGAAAAGCCTCGTTCAGTCATTGCTTTGTTTTATTATTATTGTTGTCTTCCTGGTCTGTCAAGCAGCAAGCATCTCTTTAAAAAACACACATAACATTTACAACTAAATGGTCCAATTTTGTTTCACCTTCCTTATGTGGTGTATCTGTAAGTGAGATGCTTAAACATGATTGTTCAACATAGGCTTTCACAAGAGCTTAAAAGATAGCTGTGAGCAGTTGACACACACTGCTCTACCTCTCCTTCCTTTATTATTCTGTCCTTTTCTATCCCATTCTCTTCTCCATGTGAATGCAGGTAGGAAGGTTACTAAAATTAGGGATTGCTCTGTTAAAAGTGATAAAAATAGCAAACATTGTTTTGGTCACCCTCATTTTTAATCTAAATGTCTGTGCTGCTCCATTATGGGTCTGTTAAGCACGAGTCTATTAATGCATCCTCCCCAGTTTTTATGTAAGAGCATTTTATTTATCCTGTGTTTCCTCACTAGCATGTGTGAGTGTTAACTGTCTGACATTCTGGTGCCATTAAATACTTACTTTTTGCCAAATTTGGAATGCTAGTCTTTCATCTTCTAAGAGTAACCTAAGGTTATTTTTAAACTGAACTTACTATCCACTGCATTTTAACATACTATTTTCCATTATTAATATAGAAAGTATGCAGGCCCCTGGTAAGGAAAAGTCAAATATAAACATCCCTTTTCCAGTTTTTGCTGCCAAATCTGAGCAGCTTCTGTACACGATAGAATTTAAAAATGCAATAAAGCTGGAGGTTCTGCTTCCTCCAACTCTGCATAGCAATGGTGACCTCTTAAATATAATCAAGAGCCCATTTTGCCCTTGGTCTGCTCCAGTCTTGGGTTTGAATTGCAAATGAGAAATGCAGGATTGACCTGTTGAGAGGTCACTGTGGTGTGTGTAAGGTCCTTCTTTAATATGATAGTGGAGATTGAATGGTGCTCTATTTCCATCCCTTGTTCATTTGTGGTGCAGTATTTCAAAGCAACAGAAATAGTTTTCAGAGGATTCTTATGAGTGAGAGCAAATAATTGTTAATAGATACAGCCTGGTAGCTTTATTTTATATCTGATACAGTTCTTTTTTTTCTTTTTTTCCCTCTTTTTTCTTTTCCATTTCCTTTTTTTTTTTTTTTTTTTTTTTTTCTTTTTTTTTTTTTTAATTACTTTTTTTTTTTTTTTTTTTTTTTTGCAAAGGCTGCCTTTTTCCTTCTCACAAACTGACTGTGGTGGTCAAGTCCCTCAGTTAGTGGCTCATTTGAAGCTTAACTGCATAGAATTAGGAAGAAGGAGAAATATGAATGGTACCATCCTCAACTTTCAGTCAGGAGAATGGAACTTACTGAAAGCTCTGGCTAAGACAATTTATATAAATGGTTGGGCACTTGGCATTAATATATTCAACATTATTTTAGTTACTTGAGCCCTGTGTGGCTCTAGTTAATGCTTGGTATTGTAGAAACAACTCATTTAGAGCTTTATAGCACAACCTGCACAGCGTTCAAGACTTTCAGAATGTGTTTTGCTCCTCTCTAGCCAGTATTTGCAGTCCATTACAAAATTTAAGGCCAGATTTCACTGTTTTTTTAACTCAAATGTCTTTTCATTGAAGGTAGAAAATAAAGTTTTGTGAAGTAGATTTAGCTTTGATGAATGAAGCTGTGTTGATGATTTGTTTGCCTTTTGGGGATGTTGAAAAAATAGAAAGAAATCCAATAATTTAATTCTTATATTCTGTTAAGCAGTTTTTTAAAAAATATGTTGTGGTTTCATTGCAAGTCTGTGCACCAAACACAGTGAAGTAGGTTTTGGGAACATGTTATCTTTTATATGCAATTATATCATCAGAGAAGTAGAGGCAATCTATAGCAATAAAAGCTCAAGGATTTGCAGTGATCGTTACACATCTGAGGGGATTTTGCTTAATGGCTTAATCTCTCTATCTTTTATCTCCTCCCATTCCCCTCATGTCCAAACTTTTGTGTCCTTTTCCTGGTTTTTGGGGGTTTTGCCCCTTTGGCGAGGTGCTTTGCTCTCCATTGCCTGCACGGCAGCTGTGAGCGGCCCTGGCTGGAGCCAGAAGAGCCCCGGGAGCAGCCCCTGCCCAGCCGGGCTGGCCCTGGGGGTGCTGGAGCTTTGGCAGCACCTTCAGTGTGGCTGCAGCCCATAGAAATATGGAAACTGGCTTTGTGTTTAGTGTCACTGCAGGCAATGGTGCTGCCATGGCTGTGTGAGTCCCGAACTGAGGAGCTTCCTTGGGGGCTCGGTGCTGGCTGGAGCTGGAGTAGGAGTTTGACAGACACTCAGGTTTCCTGTCAATGCCTTGTTTTGGGGCTCTTTGTTACTAATTCGGAGCACTTTGTTGTACCTTTTCAAGACAAGGTGGCATTGTGCAGCTGAAGGGCGGGGGGGAAGAAAAAGTTTTTCTCTCTAGTTTGACCTTAACAAGTTGTTAATTCCCCGTGATCCTTACACCGTATTGGGGAACCACTGCTCTACCAGCTGGATCTAAAGAGGGGTCTCAGCTTCTCTGTGGAGCAGACAAAGCCCCTTAGAAAGTCCATCCAGCTTTTTGTTTCATTTGACCTAAACACATTAGGTCAGTGTGTGTCCAAAGGAACCATTTCTAATTGGCCATCAGCTTACACGGCTCATTATTGTACCTGAGCGAGCCGGGGGCTGCGGGCCGTGTCAGAGGTCAGGGAATCAAAGCCCTGCCGGTGGCAGCAGCCACCCTCAGGTCAGCCTTGCAGAGCTCCAGCCTGTGCAGCCTTCTCTCCATATTTACCCAGCATTATTTCCTTGGCATTGTTGCAGAGATGTAAGGTTTGGGGCCCACTGCGTTACAGACTGTTTCTCAACTCACTTTCAAACTCTTTGCTCCTTCTCTGATTCCTGGTGTCTGCAGGCCTTTGTCTTTTTCAAAACCTGTGTTACACACCCCGTGCCTGCACTTGCCGAGTCCTCTCACCTGGGCTGGTGGGTCATCTCACTTCTGGAGATGAGAACTAATGTCAAAGCAAACAAGAAGTGTTCTGCCAGGCAGCCCTTGGTGTTGGACCCTCTCCTGGAGGCATTTTCAGTGTACACAGACACCAAGATGAAATGCAAAGCTAACTAAGCTCTGAGTTCCATCTCTCCTTGCCACTTCCACCAGTAATTGTTCTGCTATGGATAATTCTGTGCAGTGCGTTAATGGAATTACTGTGTTCATTTAGGTTTACAATAAGCAGAGTGCCCTGTCCCTTGGCTTCTGTTGAACTCATTACTAAAATAGAAAATCTGAGCTATGGTTTTTTTCTCCACATGCACTTCCTGGCTTTTGCGTGTTCAAGTCAGACATTTTATTGAATGTCCTGTTTGTGGTACTGGGAGGAGACAGGGGTTGTGTACAAGCTCTGATGGATGAAACATTCTATTCTAATGATGTTTTCTTTTCTGTACTTTGGTGTGTTTTCCCCCTAACATCCAAACTGTTAGTCAGCATTATCATGTAGTGTCTCCTTTGTGCACCTTCCCCTCACTCAGGAGTGTTCCTGGCCATGCTATTCACCTTTTCCTACCACACAGGACATTGCTGAGAACGGCTGCTCGGCAGCACCAGAGGAGCCCCTGCCAAGGACAGCACCGTCACCACTGGCTGAGAAGAAGGACCCAAAATTAAGAGAGGACAGAAGACCAATCACAGTACATTTTGGTCAGGTAGGTCTTAGTGTAAAGTTGTTCTCAATCATGTGGCTCAGTAAAAATAGTTCAGAGAAAAGTCATGATAACGAATATGCCAACGCTTCATTACCTTCAGTCACTGAACTATGCTATTTTAGTTTTATTTCTCTTGTATCTGTTTAAAGGGGATTCCAAAACCTGATTTTTCTTGGGTTTGCTGATTCCTTTTGTTTAGATGATGATTTTGAGGAAAATAAACCATAAGTGAATGGGAGGTAAAGCATAAATATTGTAGCAATTTTATAAACTATTTTGAGGCTGTTGTAGCATGCAAGGTGCTGCAGCCCTCAGGACTGAGGGTGTAGAATTTAAAACATCCCCTGTTATCTAGCCAGATCATTAGTGTCAATATGGAACGTCCAACTATTAAAGCATTTGAACATTCTCTGAAAATTAAATGCGATGAACTAAGATGGAAAAATCAATTAATAGCTTGTTAGTGTGCTCTGTATTCCGTATTGACAGCTGAGCTGTTCACGTTAGTTACTCGTGTAATGTTTCCTTTGATATGTCTGCAAAACAGAGAGTTTGGGGGGAGGTTGAAGAGCAGCTATTTAGAAAACGTTGTAGTTGCTGTGATTTTCATGGAAAAACAGCCAGTATTTATTTCAGTTTGCCAGTGTTTCCCTATTAAGGATAGACTCAAAAAATAACATGATTTGTGTTCACAGTTCTCTTTTCTTTTGCTGTATCTATTCTTTACACTGTTCTGGCCAGAAACAGAAGAGAATATCTGATTTCTTCTAAGGAAGCAAAATGTAATTTTAAAGGAATTGTAAAACATGATAAAATGTGGAGCAAACCAGTTTTAGAGAAGTGTCTATGAATAGAAACCAGTTGGTGTGGCTGCACTGACTGTTCAGGTATTAGATGGGGCTACCCGAGGTCTGCTCAGTGCTCAGAGCAATGTTGTCTGCATCATCTCAGAATTTGATTTATTTTTTCAGTACTTTCACCAGTGTGCTAAATGTAAGTTCTTGGAGACTTTTTAAAAATCGTTCTCTTCCAATTAAGTATTTTCAGTAGAGATGTATTTTTCCTTTACCTTCTTTGCCACTACAGTTGAGAGGAATTTGGGCTACTGGAGGAATGCAGCCATCTAGCTCCAGCAGGGACATGTTACATTTCATTTGAAGCAGTCAGAAATCAGATAATATCACAATTGATTTTTAGTTTTTGCTTTAGATATTTGTGAACGATGGATGGTTCAAACATGGTGGTAGATTAATGAAATATATATTTGAGTGGTAAGTGCAAATTTAAATTCATGAGGTTTTTTAACAGTCGCTTTCAAATTTTTTAATGATCACTTTTCTGTGTCGAAAGAAGCTCACACGAGCTTTCCTGACCCCTGGCTGTGGGGAGAGGCTCGCTGGCTAAATGCTTATTGCTGTCATCACATTACAAATGTTGGTTTCCAAAAACCCGTCTGACTTAGCAGCTGTGGGGCTGTCTGACTCACAGCCTTCGTCCTGGCACGGGTCTGCTTCTCCTGATAGCCCAGTGCCAAAACAAAAATGAAATCATACCTTCATTTAAAAGGGAAAGATGTTCAGGTTTATGAAATATAGATTAAGGCTTTGGGGAGGAAAAAAGCAGCAACATTTACTCTATAAATGGGAGATGGCTTCTAACTCGTGATTAAAGGCAGAGATTTTAATGTCACTTTTAACTCTGTCTAGAATACAGAAGGTGGGAACAATTAAAAAGGCACAAGAACTCTGAAATAAGAGCTGTTTGTGCATTCACAGCTCTTCTAAACTGAAGAGGATGAAAGAGGCTTTTTTCTCATTGTCAGGGCCTCTCTCGGAGCGCAGCATTGTGCGGCTGGCAGCGCGGTTTAAAATGCATGCATGCGCCGGGGTCAGGGCCCGGCTCGGGGCGGGCGGTGCAGGGAGCGCGGCCGCAGCGCTGCAGCAGCGCTCCGCCGCCGCGCGGGCTTTAATTGAGACGTGCTGTCAAAGTGACAAACACATTTGCATACAGTCTATTTATTTTCCTCCGAAAGGTCTGCAGTCTGCTGTTGGTTGAACATTCTTAATCAGCTCGCTGTAAGTGAGCCGGCAGCGAGCTGTCCTGTGCTGGGTGCTTCTCTTCATTACATGACAGATTAGCTAAAGGGGGATGGGCTAGCGAGCCAGCAACAACCTTTAATTTTAACTCATTATCTCTCACCCTAGAGTGAGGGAGTTGCTGGCTTTTCCAAACACAGTTGTGTATCTGCAGTTGTTAGGCTACAAAAAATATCAGTAAAATATCTTGAAATGCCCGTGAAAGCACAGCCCCTCAGCTGATGGCTCACCAAAATTTGGCAGTAATTAGCTGACTGGGGGGGATTCTTTATGTCCTGGCTCATTTTGGTGAGTGGTGATCAGGCATCACTGGAGAGCTTTGTTGATTATGGAATTGTTTTAATGATGCTTTCTGTAATACTTAGACATTGTGGGAAAGCTCCCCTTGATGGTGAAAAAAAAGATTTTAGCCAGATAGCCTGGGGCAGTGTAGTAAAGATCTAAACAGGGTGTTCTTAGTAAGACACCACCGTGGGAGGGTGGGACCACTGCTTTTCCTGGGTGGGACTTTGCATGCCTTACCCAGGATGTACCTTTGTTATTGATCCCTGCATCAACCAAATACAGCAACTATCACTACGGGCTCTGGGACAATGCAGCTGTACTCAACAAGTAGCAGGAGCAGTGCAGGCAGCTCAGGGTTTAATGGGTGGGGAGAAGAGGGAACAATTTTCAAGCCAAGGCCAAGATTCAAATGGAAGGTTTGTAGTACTGAGCAGTGCTCTATGTTTGGGGAAGAGTCAGGTGAATTATTATGGAAGATCCAGTGCTACAGAGAACATCTCTTGTGGTGCTGGGCTTATGGTTGGACTTGATGATCTTACCAGTCTTTTTCAACCTTAATGGTTCTATGAACGTCCTGTCAATTGCTTTCTTCTGGTTTTTGTCTTAAAAGCTGGGCAAAATGTCCTTAATGCATCAAACATGAGCTGCATATTCAGCTTCCAGAGCTGTCCTGGGGATCCTTCCCAGTGTGCCAGGCAGGGCAGGCACTGGGAGCCCAGTGAGCCCTGACCAGGGCAGAGTGGGACACTAATGCAGGTGGTTTGTGACTTGGGGGTTTGGGCTCTTGCTTCCATGGCCACTCTTGTGTCTGTGTTGTCTTTGAGCTGTTTGGAGAATAAACTCCACAGTGTTATGGTGACTGTTCTGAACAGGTTCCTTTTCCAAGCAAGGAGCTGCTGGAGCTACTTTGGCAGGACCCACAGAGTTCATACAGGATTGGTACCTGTGCCCAGTTTTCCCACCAGTCTGGGAGGAGTGGTGTGAGCACACAGGATGAGCCCAAGGGCTTCAAAAGCAAAGCTGCACTTAGGAACGTTTTTCTTAGGAGCTTTCCCAGTCAGTAGCACCCATGATTTAGTACAATTAAACCAGCAAATGATAAGCTGCCAGAAACATCACTTGTTGGGAAAGGGAATCATTTCATTAGAAGCAAGTGATCCTGGCAGTTCTGCACAGCTCTCTAATTGTGTCTGGTATAATTAGAATGTCTTTTGTCAGCTTAGCTGGGTTTATGTTTTCTATGGCTTGTTTTTATTTACCAGCAAATAGGATATTTAATTCCATTTATGTACCAAAAGGTGTAAAGCTTAAGAAAATACAAAAGACTCTTCCACATGCATCTTTAGTAGAGAGATTCAATCATGTTCTGCTCTTGATGCAAACTACAGAGAATCAGAGGGACTACAGAGCTCTGGGGACTAATGTAAATAGCTATGAAACAAATGGAAAATGCACTAATGTACTGAAGCAGCTTGTCTGACTGTGGAAAGGCTTCTCTGGGTTCTCTCCCTGGCTCATCCTGACTCATGTTAAACTCTTGCAGGACACAGCATGGAAATTACCATCGTATTTGCTGTTCTGAATCCTTTTGCTGTAAATGAACGTGTTCATTTTCCCTAGTCACAGTCTGCCCTTGGACACACAGAACAAACAACTCTGCTTTGCAGGGCAGTGCTCTCCTTCCAGGAGATTAAATGGCATTAAGAGGTCAGGGGGAAGATGGGGAGAACACCAGCCAGCTACATTCCAGGAATGCAGAACTGGATCGCTGAGGCCAGAGGCAGCAGAGGAGGGATTATCTCCAGGGTAAAAGGGATGAAGTAGGGAAGGGAGGAAGGCTCCTTTGCCAGACCCTGTGACTCCCTTCACACCCAGGTGCATCGGAACAATAGCAGATTCCTCTGGATCACAGCAGGCATTGTGTGGCACTGAGGTAGAAACCAAAGGGGAAAGGGGAAAACAAGTTCATTTGTTAATATTCGTGTAAGTGTATGCTCTGGCTGCAGAGCCAGCTCCTCCTCTGGCCACTCGGAGCTGGGGGGCAACAGCAGGACCTTCATTAAGAAAATGAGCCTCCCTTCCACTCTTGCCCACGGATGAGCAATGTGGGTTCCCATTTCCTTTCTCTGGAGTCACATGGAGTTTCCTCCCTCTCTCCATTTGATTCTTTATGGATTTAGCAAAAGTCTAAGTTCTTTAAAATGATTTTGTCTTCAGAAAGCATATCTTCTACCCCCATTTGTTCCCACTCCTTTCTTTGCCTGTTCCTTTCAGGAAGGAATTCAGTGTTGCTCAGTAAAAGTCACCTCACAAGAAAGACAAATGTCTTGGCCCAGAAGCACTTGTCCATCTAATGTCTGCACACTCAAATGTCCCATCAGGTTCTCAGGGCCAGTGTTCTTAGAGGAGTAAAACCAATGTCAATGGACAAGACAATGATGCATTGGATTGAATTGTGCTTTGTGGTGTGCAGGATTAGCAGCAATAGCAATGCATGGGGTGGGAGTTAGGGAATGCCTGCACTAGCCTGGTGCCATGGCATGCAGGAATTCCTGCTTTGTAGTGAGACTGTCACCCCGGCCTGCATCCAGCACAGCTGTTCAGCCATGAACAAGCACACTGCAGACTGATTTTTCGTGTTTCCCAGCTGTCTGGCTGTTGGAAGCAGTCCTTAGCCAGGGTGCTGGAATCACTGTGCTGCCCTGTGTCAGGTGCTGCCGTGCCTGCCTGTGAGGGAGCGCTCAGAGCCGACCTCCCGGGGCTGTGACAAGCGACAGCAGCTGTAACGTGTCTGCAGAGTCTCCTTGTTAGTCCTGTTCTGCTGAGGAACCCAGAAATATCTCCTAGAGAGGATCTTGGGCCATCACTGCTGGCATGTGGAAGGAGAGTTGTGCTTTATAAATAATACATACCTAGAAAATAAATACATCAGTACATGCAAGGCTACCCAAATCACCTAGATTGACAACTTGAGGAGAGCTCACAGTGTCTTATGGATGACTTGCCTCTCTAGCAATGTAGATCAGCATCCAGAAGCTTCTTATGTATTACTTATGAAGTTGATATGTGCAGTTAGGCCAGAACTGTCTGAATTGACCTCTGGGCCACTGGATTAAACCAGGAGATTAAAGGTAAATAGTATGTGAAACATATAATTCTTCTAAATGCTGACCCCTCTGTGACTGTTTGTTTGGCCAGGCACTTTTTAGATTTGCCCTTCAGAGCTGAATAGCACATAAAACAGTTGTGAGTGCCAGGCTGCAGATGGAGGGTCCATGTCCTTCTGTGGGTGTGTGGGGGACAGTGTCCCCCCAGTTATGCAGCCTGGCTTGGTGAGTGATGAAGCTCAGCGAAGCAGAGAGTCATTGCTGTTTATAGAACTCCTTAAATGATAGACCAGGTCTTTTTTCTTTTTTTTTCTGTGCAAGTATTCCACTTGCTAGAGAGGAATAGCTGTTACGAGATAATAAGGGATATGTCCATTTTCCAGCATTTTAAATCATGTAGGCTACATGATCTCTTTGATTTGAATTCCAGCATCAGGACCACAGAAAGCCAACACAAAGCTGGCAAAATGACCAGTTAAAAAAGAAAACACAAACCACTGTGGCTTTTTTTCTTTAAATTTGATATTGCATTGCTGGATTTTCTAGTATTTTAAGTGAAAAATATATGTAGTTAGTTCCATGTTGACAATGTCCTTGAGGATTTGACAGTGAGATTTTCCAGCAGTTGCTCTTCGTTAGAATCCTGGTGGTGTTTAATAAGGCAGCCAAACTGCTGGCACCTCGGGCTCGTGTTTGTTCTCCGAGGGCTCGGGGCTGCTGCAGTAAGCACATCGACCAGGGCTGATCATTACAAGGGCGTACGCCACCATGAATAAAAATGTCACACGTTCTCCCATCTCACAGTGGTACAAAATGTCAGTCCTGTCAAACACACATTGCAAGTAGCACTGAGCAGTCAGTACAAATTGGGAAGCGGAATATTCCCCCAGCTTTCTGATATTCTTCATCTGAAGCAGAAGAAAAGCAGTTGTTAACCTATTAGCTGTGATTTTAAACTCTGCTGAGGTAGTAGATGGATAGGCTTTAACACATGGGGATAAATATATTCCTGGGGTCTGGGGGTTTTTGCAACATGTCTCTCCATCCATGTGTGTTGAGGAATATACAGAAAGAAAACAAACCACAGCAAAATGAGCCTCATTTTGGAAGAAGTCCTCTGGAAAAATGATCATCTCAGTGAGATTCTGTTTGAACTTCTTGTCTCTTTTACCTCTGTGAATGGTTATGCAAAAGCCCTCCTTGCTGGTTTGCTGTAATCCAGACAGGATTCTGTAATCCAGCAACTGCTTCGATGAGTTCAAGGAGTTTTCCTTCATGGCCCTGGCATTATGCAGCAATGTCACAGAGAGCTGGGGTTCTGTTCTCCTTCTGGACAAATGAAGGTTGTGCTGCTTCAGGGTGAGGCCCATGGTGTGGTGCAGAG